GAAGTACTAGATTTCATTTGCTGGTTTTAATATTAATCTGTGCCTTACCTACCTATGTCTCATCTGAAATAAGAGACCATGAAGAACACACATTTAGAAGGATGTGGTTAATTTTCTTATATTCATAACGTTTCACGAGAGAGAATATTCCTTTGGTTTGCTCAGGTTTGCAAAACTGAGGACCGTATTTCTGTTTAAACTCAGGAGGCAAGAATCTCTGTTTTTAATCCGCGGGCTCCCTCTGGTGGCCTAGGATGTGCTCGGCACCAAGAGCTTGATTATTGTAGAAGCTAAGTGAAAGTTACTTGCAAATCGATTTAGTGACGTTGTCAACAGTGTCTCCTAACTTCTTCTTTAGTTAATGAGAGAATTGTGCTCTCCCTAATAGCAATAATAGAATGAATACTGGCATTATGATGAATCAGTGTTGCAGGTCTAGTTTTATCTTATTCAAGTGTCAATTTAGAGATATTTCAGCAGGGCTGAAAGCAATGAACTTTAATAATATTTACAAATAAAATCCGTCAACTTGCATATCCAAATAACCACTGTCTAATCACACTGAGCTGTCATCTTTATTTCTCTGACACCTTTGTGCTCTGCTTTCACCTCCTACTGGTCATACTACATCTTAATCAGGCTATTTGCCTATTGTATTTGACAATGGAGAAAAATGATCTTTGCATTAATAATATTAGGTTAGAAACATGTTAGTATTGTAAACTGCATAGCAAATTTGAGGCTCTAGAGTCATAAAGCCCACCTTGTAGGTAAGAATTGTATCAGTTCAAGAGGTCACTTTACTTTTGCCTCAAGTTTTAAACTTGTATCTAATTTTTTTTTAACAAATTTTTGGCAGAGTTGAAGAGAAATTTTTGTGTTTCAGCTTCCCAGTCTTGCTTTTTTTTTTTAACCTTGAATTTATCAACATGAACAAATGTTTACATAGCTGAAGAAATGCAACATGTATTCTACAGTCGTCCTTCCTTTAATGCTCTTAATGCATATGTATATTGTAGCAGACCCAATAAAAGAAAGAAAAATTCTTCAGCTCTAAGTGATTTGAGTAGATGACTTGTAGCTTGCCTTGAAGCGTCACAAACCTTCACATACTTGGACAAAAGATTTTCACATTAACTTCATGCTTGTTTTGTGCTGATGTGACTACAGAATATCACAGTGACTCAAGATAAGCAGGTCCAACAGATTTATTCACAAGATCTTTTAGAAAAGACAGGCCCAGCAGGTGGGAAGGGGGAGCTGCCCTTTACATTAGCGATATGCTGGAGAGTATGGAACTGTGTCTGGGGACTGGTGAGCAGTTGACAGAGAGTTGTGGGTCAGGATTAAAGGGAAAACAGTGATGGGGAACATTACTGTGGGGATCTGTTACAGACCGCATGATCAAGGAGAACCTGCGGATGAAGCACTCTATAGGCAGATAGGAAAAGCTTCATGCTTGCAGGCCCTTGTTCTTATGGGTGACTTCAACCACCCTGACATCTGTTGGAATGACGGTACGGCCCGGCACAAGCAATCCGGGAGGTTCCTTGATTGTGTGGAAGACAACTTCCTTCTGCAAGTAATAGAGGAGCCGACAAGGAGAGGTGCCATGCTTGACCTCGTGCTCACCAACAGGGAAGGGCTCGTTGGAAATGTGACGCTCCAGGGCAGCCTTGGATGCAGCGACCACGAGATGGTCAAATTCGAGATCCTCAGGACAGTGAGAAGAGCGTGCAGTAAGCTCACTGCCCTGGACTGCAAGCGAGCAGACTTTGGCCTCTTCAGGAACCTGCTTAGTAAGGTTCCATGGGATATAGCCCTGGAGGGCAGGGGGACCCAAGACTCTTGGTTGGTCTTCAAGGATCACCTGCTACAAGCTCAGGAGTGTTTCATCCGAACAAGAAGGAAGTGCAGCAGGAGGGCCAGGAGACCTCCTTGGATGGATAAGGAGCTGCTGAGGAAAATTCAAATGAAAAAGAGGCTTATAAAAAGTGGAAGCAAGGCCAGGCAGCCTGGGAAGAGTACAGGGATGTTGTCCGGGAAGCTAGGGACCAGGTTAGGAAAGCTAAGGCCCAGTTAGAATTAAACTTGGCTAGGGATATTAAGGATAACAGGAAGGGATTCTATAGGTATGTAGCAAATAAAAGACAGACTAGGGACAAGGTAGGCCCCCTCAGGAAGTTGTCAGGAGACTAGCTACACAGGATTTGAAGAAGGCTGAGGTTCCGAATGACTTCTTTGCTTTGGTCTTCACTGGCAAAGGCTCTGACCACCCCACCCAAGTCTTGGAAGGCAGATGCAGGGACTGTGAGAATGAAGACCTTGGGCCCACTGTAGGAGAGGATCTGGTTCGAGACCATCTTAAAAATCTAAACGTGCACAAGTCCATGGGACCTGATGAAATCCATCCGCGGGTCCTGAAGAAGGTGGCGAATGAAGTTGCTAAGCCACTGGCCATCATATTTGAGAAATCATGGCAGTCAGGTGAAGTTCCTGATGACTGGAAAAAGGGAAATATAACCCCCATTTTCAAGAAGGGGAAAATGGATGACCTGGGGTACCACAGAGCAGTCAGTCTCACCTCTGTGCCTGGCAAAATCTTGGAGCAGATTCTCCTGGAAGGCATGCTAAGGCACATGAAAAACAGCAGGGTGCTTGGTGACAGCCAGCATGGCTTCACTAAGGGGAAATCCTGCCTGACCAATTTGGTGGCCTTCTATGATGGGGCTACGGAACTGATGGACAGGGGTAGAGCAGTTGATGTCATCTACCTGGACTTGTATAAAGCGTTCGACACTGTCCCACACGACATCCTTGTCTCTAAATTGGAGAGGCATCAATTTAATATCCACTCGGTGGATAAAGAATTGTCTGGATGGCTGCACACAAAGAACTGTGGTCAATGGCTCAATGTCCAGCTGGAGACCAGTAATGATGGTGTCCCTCAGGGATCGGTGTTGGGACCGGTCTTGTTCAACATCTTTGTGGCTGACATGGACAGTGGGATTGAGTGCGCCCTCAGCAAGTTTGCCAGTGACACCAAGCTGTGTGGTTCAGTTGATACGCTGGAGGGAAGGAATGGCATCCAGAGGGACCTTGACACGCTTGTGAGGTGGGCTGATGCCAACCTCATGAAGCTTAACCATGACAAGTGCAAGGTCCTACACCTGTGTCGGAGCAATCCCAGGCACAGCTACAGCCTAGGCAGAGAAGAGATTCAGAGCAGCCCTGAGGAGAAGGACGTGGGGGTGTTGGTCAATGAGCAAATGAACATGAGCCGGCTTCAGTGTGTGCTTGCAGCCCAGAAAGCCAACTGTATCCTGGGCTGCATCAAAAGGAGCGTGACCAGCAGGTCGAAGGAGGTGATTCTGCCCCCTTACTCTGCTCTTGTGAAACCTCACTTGGAGTATTGTGTGCAGTTCTGGTGTCTTCAGCATAAAAAGGACATGGAACTGTTGGAACAAGTCCAGAGCAGGGCCACGAGGATGATGAGGGCACTGGAGCACCTCCTGTATGAAGACAGGCTGAGAAAGCTGGGGCTGTTCAGCCTGGAGCAGAGAAGGCTGCGTGGAGACCTCATAGCAGCCTTCCAGTATCTGAAGGGGGCCTATAGGGATGCTGGGGAGGGACTCTTCATTAGGGACTGTAGTGATAGGAGAAGGGGTAATGGGTTAAAACTTAAAACAGGGGAAGTTTAGATTGGATATAAGGAGGAGATTTTTTCCTGTAAGGGTGGTGAGGCACTGGAATGGGTTGCCCAGGGAGGCTGTGAAAGCTCCATCCCTGACAGTGTCCAGGACCAGGTTGGACTAAGCCTTGGTGATATGGTTTAGTGTGAGGTGTCCCTGCCCATGGCAGCGGGGGTTGGAACTTGATGATCTTAAGGTCCTTTCCAACCCTAACTATTCTGTGATTCTATGATCTGCAGTGCAGGTAGGGGCAGAGCTGGCAGAGGGTTTTGTACTTTTATGGCAATGCAAAACAAGCAGCGGACTGGTGTAAGATGCTTTCACTTGAGAATGTCAGCCTTTTATTTCAGGGTCTGAGCTTATAATAAATGAAAATAACTGAAACAGTCTCTAGCATTTTCATTTCTGTTAGAAACTGTATGTAAATTTGTAACAAGAGAGATCCCACTAGTGAAATACCGAATTCTACAATTCATTCAGAAATGCACTTCTAGAAGTGCTAATTTAGGGGTTCCTCTTGGCTCCACTTAAAGAAAGTATTGACAGTTATGTCTTATGAAGGAAAACTAGGTTTGGGAGAACTAATTAGAGCAATTCTCTCAATATACTTATTGTGCCAAAGGCACAAATGTGAACTTTTCATATGAGCAGAGGATATAAGATGTATGTGAGAAGCATTAGATCCTTTGCTGCTAAAAATTAATCTGACTTGTATTACAAGGACAATTGAAGTGAATAGAAATAAAGTATAATGCATGAGTCAATAAAGTCTGTATTTACTAAGAATTTACTATTTTATGTATACTACATCCACTTAAAGTGGTGTTTGCTGTTCATTTTTTTTCATGCTATGCTCTTGGTCACCTGCTTCACCATCTGTGCAAATCATCTATCCTAACATCTACTAGTTCTCTGTTCATTATATTTAAATTTACAGGGACTGAAATTATTTCTGAGCTCAAATATCTAGCCTCTGTGACACCAGCACTCTGACGTATGCAGGCAGCTTGACACTTGTCAGTAGAAAGTAGCTTTAACATGTAATGCTTAAATAGACAACCTGAGAGGAACCCAGCACTGTTAACGTGCTTTACTGACTCAACAAGCACCTTGAAATCATGGTAATAATGTAACTTTTTGTACCTTCTTCCTCCCACCCTCCCCCCAATAATTAAGCTTATTTAATGTTTAGATTGTAATGTACATTGAGCTTATAGTGAGGATTGGCTTTTTGTGATAGTATGTCTTGTGATGTCTTTTTCATTAAAGTAATGTAAGTCTTTTATTTTTTTTCTCTTTTCTGCAAAGGTACTTGGAACACCAAATGAAGATACATGGCCTGGAGTTCACTCTTTACCCCATTTCAAACCAGGTAGGTTGAAGTACCAAGTTCAACCAAGTTCTCTTCCTGGAAATACGGGACACAGATAACTGCATCCCTGACCACAAGCATCAAAATGACCTGGTACGCAGTGCACAAACCATAGTGCAGTACTTCTAGCTGCTTACCTTTTATTGTGCTCACAGTGGGATTTTTTTTTCATTTGTTTAATTTATTTGCTTTCTTTTTCATTGTCTCCTGTTTATTACAGCATGAGCCCTGACCTGCTTGCATTCTTTAGCCGCTGAGTATCGTACCTTTCAGATAGGCTGATTCCCAGTCAGTGTTACTTTTCCACAGACCAGTCTGAACTTTGAGGAATACTAAAGGAAGCTAAAGAGTAAAGACGTTGTGAAAGCTGTATTTACTCCTAGGTTATCTGCTAGTACTTTTCTACAAAGGTTCAAATTTTTAATGTGCATTATACTTGAAGTTGTCATTCTGCAACCATTCTGGAAAAGCTGTTTCACCATCTGATGCCTTAGTGTGAGAGGGAGCAGTTTGTTCCCTAGAAATTAGAAGTACATGGTCAGCTTTGTTATGCATGTATGCGTACATATGTGATTACTTAGTCTTGTTAACTTTTGAGTGGGGATCTTAGAAATACTGGTTTTTAAACATGCCAAACAGGCAAATCAGTAGGAAATATGCTGGTTGTTGGGGTGGTGAAATACTGGAATGGGTTGTCCAGAGAGGCTTGACATCTCTATCCTGTTCAAAACCTGACTAGACAGGGCCAGAGCAGCATAAACTTGTTGGACCTGCTGTGAATGGGCTTGGACTAGATGGTAAAGAGCTGGTTACTAGATGCTTTCAGATGAAGCACTTAATTGGCTCCCAGTGTACTAGGATGAGTCTTACCATGTATATAACCCTATGACTAAAGTCTGGAAGTGAGTGACAGAAGTGACCCAGGAATACAATTTCAGATGTTTCTGTCCTTGCAGGCCTCTCATGAAACCCTGGTTCTCTTTGCTGCAGATGATAATCCCGTCATCTTTTGTCATAAACTGTAACAGCCTGGATCCTATGCCATTTAAACCTAATTTTCAAGTTATTTTATAGGTGAACATAAAGATTTCCTTGTCATTCCAGCCTTTCTTCTTTGTCAGATCTGCAGGACCATAGTGGCTCCATTGGGGCAGCAAAGAGACAGGAGATGTGGCATAGGAGCTGAAAACGACAAACTGATTTAGTCAGCTCTCAAAATCAGAGAAATGAGATACAGAAACAAATATATTGTAGGACATACCCTGATAGAAACACAAAGCCTTGAGAAAAGAGAAGGCAGGTAACTTTCTTTCACATTGCTTTTCAGTCTCTGTCCTAATGCTGTCTTACTACTGCATAGTGCACCCACTCTCTGGTGTTCTGTAGAGAATTAGTACATCTTTCAAATACAGTTTTTCACTGAAATACTAAAACCACTACAATTTTCTTCCCTAAATCAGTGTGTCATTAAGTTTACAAGGTTTTAAGTTTCTCATTCTTGGTACCTATTAAAAGGTGGGTATACACATGGAATACAGTTACAAAAATACAGTGTTTTTTAACACCAGTCCAAAGACATTGTTTTTATCCAAAAATAGTGAAGAGAAGGGGAAAACCTGGAGATGTCAGTACATGCTCTTTGGTTTGGTCTTGATTTTATTCTTCTGTGTGATACAGGAAAGTTTTGAACAGTAGATGGCAGCCAAGAAATTTACTGGTTTCATTTTTCTGTTTGGCTTCCAAGTGTGTTGGGGGATGTGGGTTTATTACCATAGAAGAACATCATGAAATAAATCCACAGTAGGCACTCCATTAAATCTAATTTTTATACAAGCATTGTGTTAGATGTGCTTTTATTTTCTCCATCCCAGACTATGGATTTTGTCAGCTATGGATACATAATATTTATACAAATGCAGAATGGGGACAGAAAGAAAGATGCCTCCAAGTTAGAAAATGGTCACTCGGTATTTTCACCATTTCTGCATGGTGTGGTCTTTGTTCTCTCTGATCCTTTCCACATCTGTGAAGTATGTAGATATGCAAGTCAGAGTAATTGCTATTCTCGCTGGCAATTATTTAATCTTTCCAAGGCCTGTTAATGCAAAGCACTGAGCTCCTTAATTCCTGTACGCTGTGCAGGTCTAAGAGCAGTCCAAAGGAAAAAGCCCTCTTTGTATACTTAGTGTGTTCTGCACATTTTGTACCACCCTATATCCTTCATGGCTTTTTTTTGCCTTATGGGTCCTCATTTTCTGATTTTGGAAATTACAGCAATAGAAAGCGTAATCACAGAACAGTTTGGGTTGGTAGAGACCTTAAAGATCTTCCAGTTCCAACTGCCCTGCCATGGGCAGGGACACCTTCCACTAGACCAGGTTACTCAAAGCCTCGTCCAACTTGGCCTTGAACACTTCCAGTGATAGGGCATTTACAGCTTCTCTGGGCAACCTGTTCCAGTGCCTCATTACACTTGTAAAGAACTTGTTCCTATTACCTAATCTAAATTTCCCCTCTGTTGGCTTAAAGCCATTCATTCCCCCTTGTCCTGTCACTACATGCCCTTGTAAAAAGTCTCTTTCCAGATTTCTTGTAGGCTACCTTTAGGTACTGAAAGGCTAGTATATGATCTCCCCGGACCCTTCTCTTCACCAGGGTGAACAAGCCTATCTCTCTCAGCCTGCCTTCATAGGAGAGGTGTTCCAGCCCTCTTCATGGCCCTCTTCTGGATTCGCAGGTCCATGGCCCTCTTGTCTTTTAGAGGCCCAAGAGCAATCTAACTTGACAACCAAAACTTGGCTTATATACCCCAAAACCAAGTAATTGGACATTATGCTGATGAACCGTGGAATGGTTAGAGAAGAAAAATGCATCACCTTTAGGATCATACTGGTTTGTGCAGAGCCACTAAAGCATGCTCTGCATGAAGTGCTCACCTAAGGGCTGGGCTTGGAATTACACTATTTGTGCATCCTGTTAGGGTAAGTGGAGCTGTTTGGTCCTGCTTACCAGATTCTCTGTTGGTTCTTAAAAAAATGCTTTCCTTCATGCCATTCGGTACACAAGGATTTCTGGCTATGGGGAGGCTGCATTGTCTGCTTTCCCAGATGCTGAGCCAGCCATGTGCCCTCCCTGTCAGTCTGAAAATGTTACACCCTAGAGAAAATTTCCCCAGTATACGGAACTGAAAGAGTCTTCTCCACCAACTGACTTCTTTGGAGCAAAAATGGAGCTTAATGCTTTAATAGCACATTTAAGATGACTTAATCTTTTCCTTTCCTTCGCAGAAGAATGCAGGAGAAAACCTGAAATGCCATGCCAAATCTGAGCCAATTCCATTTTTCTTTAAGATTTGAGAAATTACTGCATATAAATATTATATGGGTTTAAGTAACTTCTGTGCTTTGTGTGTCTTTCTGAGCTTTGAGACCGATAGCTGCAAACTCTAAGTGTGTGACAAATTGAGAAGTGCAAAGAGCACTGGTGATAAGGATATCAACATCCACTCAGACAAGGCTTTGATGCTGTAAACTAAGTTGTGTAAGCATAAACATAAACATAAGGCCTTGAACAGAAGTATCAATGATAAATAGTTACTATAGTTAAAAAATGCTGAGCACATTAAATACCTGTGAAGTTGGGAAGCCTATTGAGAGTAGAAACAAAATTTCATTGTGTTTCTTTTTGCATACAGACTTAAATAACTAATTTTCATGCTGTAATTTCATAGGGCACAGTCCTGTGCTGCAGAGAGCAGTTTACTGGGAGAGAGGTGTCTGAAAAGCATGGCATTAGTCTCTTCTCTAGCACAGTGGCCAAGGGTCTGATTATTATGGAAAACAGTCAGTGCATGAACAATGAAGATCTCTGATACCTTAATATGTGGGAGCATGTCTGAGGCTCAGTAATAAATGTGTTCCTGAATCTAGCTGTGGGTGGCTGTGCGTCATCTAAACACCTAACCTCAGTGATTTTAACAGTCTGTAATTGTGAAAATAAAAGTCATAATTTGTTTTGCCATTTAAAAAGTAAGAAAATAACTTGTATTTTATCTGCCTGCTTTGAGATCTTTGATTATTTTCTGTCTTATAAATATTCTGAGTAATATGGGAAATGTTAAAGCTAAAAGGTGGCCTGGCCTTTGAGTCTCAGTCCTCTCAGCTTGTGTTTGCACTTGTGCACACAGGCACAAATGAGTGAGTCTTCCTGTATTCACATATCACCAAAGAAACCTAGTCATTCAGCACCACTGTGAAAGTAAATTATCTGCCCTTAAAGAAGAAGGCAGTTCAGGGAAATTATGAAGAAGTGTTAGTTTCTGTTTCAATGAAACCTTGAGGTTTCATCCAGCTTAGAAACTTCATGTTACAGGTATTGGACAGAGGCACTCTAAGTGATGAATATGACCCTCTGACACATGACTAGGAGAACCTGTTTTCACTATTTATTCTTTTGTTACTTTAAGAAATATGTACATTTGCTGTACTAAACCAGATCCAATACCTATCATATCACAGGACCAATATCTCCAAGAACAAAATGAAAGTAGGCATCTTCTGTGTCTCATCTGCATGAGTAGGGATGAAGCAGCGTTCCAAAGTAAGTTGCTTCCTTACCAGTCTTGTGTTTGAGTCTTCCTGATTTTTGTGTATTAGTCTATCCATTGTCATTAAGTCTCCCATTTCTCTTAGTCTGGAGTCTTACCTTTTCTTCTCCAGCCATTTCTCCGAGATTCAGAGTCCTGTCCAAATAATCGAGCAAGATAAGCTTTTGGGTAAACATCTGCACTTAAGTTTTCACTTTTCCTACATTCTCAATTAGTCTTTGGGACTGATGCTGCATAACCTTTATCCTGGGAAGTTAAATCAAATTTTATCAGAAAGTACTGTCTGTGAGCAAAGTGGGAGAAGGTAAGATAAGCTCACAACAGAAGATATATGAAGTAATAGTGGCCATGAAAAGATGGTAACAGTCAAGGAAAAGTAACCTGTTAGGAAGGT